CACCACTAGGATCTGAGCCCGACCTGAACGGCAGCCCCGCGGCACATCCTACTCTGCTTGTGATTAGAACAGGGAAAGAGCAATGAGGAAGTGCAGCCAGTCACCCAGCCCCGTGGCCACTGGGCAGGAAGCAGAAACCCAGATGGAAGAATCCTTTCAAGAAACATGCTCCACACTTGAGCATCCAAAGAGAGAAACAGTCGTCACTAAGCAGCCAGTCGCTCATCCAAGATCACGTTCTTCCTTGTCCCCATCTGGGCTCCGTCCTCCCCTGGAATGCAAAGCTCTTGCTTAACAGAGTCGTCCAAAGTTTCAGCTGGTGAGGAGCCCGAGCACCAGATGTGGATCTGAGACCAGAGAGAGAAGCACAGAAAGACCCTCTCTAGGGGCGTCTCTGCCTTCCTGTCGGCCCTCAGTGCAGGGCCCCGTGCCTGGTATCTAATGTGCAATCAGCAGCCCCACCGACCCGGAATACCTTGGCTATACTCATGGCCAGAGCAGGTCCCCATCATGAAATGCTTTCTCAGACAAAATTTCACATGAATGTCCCCCAGGAACCTACTGCCCAATGGTAGGGCAGGATCCACTGCCTTCACCACTTCATGAGGAGGCGGAAGCCCCGGGAAGCTGAGCACACAGACAGCTGACTGTCTGGAAAGACTAGACCTGTGGATCCTGAATTGGCTGAGGGTCTGCGTGTTCTAGACACTGACAGCACAGCACGTAACCTCATCTGCAAGCTGGGGCTAAGCATCATGCTTCCTTCATAGAGCATTGTAAGGATCGAGTGGAATAATGAAAATGTTTAATGAAATGTAAAGAAATGTCTAATATGGTTCCTGATATTAGGGAATTCTTCCATTTAAGTGTTAGTCGACCCCTGCCATGTCCCTGCAAGTCTCTATGGTAACCTCAATTGATAGATGAGGAAACTGAGGCACAGAGGTGGAGAATAATCTGAGTCAATCAGCATATTGAATGGCCTCACCAAGCTTCGGATGCAAACCTGTACTCTGTGCACTCAAGAATATGATTTTTCTAGAACTCAGGAGTCCTGTTTCAAAGTTCATGCACTTTCCTTGAACTAGTCACCTAGACTGGAGACAGTCTTCCACAGAAAGTGTTGTGACCTGGTTTGAACGGTAATCATGAGGCCTTCTGTCTCGGGAAATACAGTCAGTTGTCAAATCCCAAACAAAATTCCTAGCATCAGCCTTCTTGAAGACCTCTGTGACATTAGCAAAGAAATTCTTACCCAAATCCCCCGAGCAGAGAAGCAATTTTGAAACAGAATTGAGTGTTTGAAGCTGATAATGAGCATGAAAGTCAAAAGGGTACTCTTGTCAATATGCCTACAGTTTCAGAAATCCTGTTTCTTCATTAACTAATTTTCATCTCAATTCTTTTTCTTTTTTTTTGGTAAAAAATTAAGTGGACATAAAGAAAAAGGGTTATTGGAACCAAACTTCCTTATTTCTATATGGCTCCTTGCAGTGTCATAGAGGCAGAAACATTTAAATGTGTCTCATGCAATCGTCTTGGTCAGCATTCATGTCTTCGTTGTAAGGCTTGTTTCTGTGATGAACATACAAGGAGTAAGGTGTTTAAGCAGGAAAAAGGAAAACAGCCTCCTTGCCCTAAATGTGGACATGAAACTCAGGAAACAAAGGATCTTAGCATGTCAA